TTACATTTCTATCTCACCTTTCCTCCAGCAAACTGAAGAAAGTGCTTATGGCTCTCCTCCCCAGTTTACCCTAAAATAGCACACTGTGCTTGGTCAGAATGGAAATGTGTGCCTGGCCCAAAGTAACCCAGTGACTTTCATGGCTAAGCAGAGATTTGAACCCAGGTCTCTGAAGTCTTAGTCAACGTTCCCTCTAAGCTGTGCGAGTGCACAGGCACAGAGCCCTTGGACAGCACTGCAGAAAATTAGAGGGAATGTTGCTCTTAGTCCAACTACCCAACCACTGGGACAGATTGCCTGCTGCCCACAAACCAGGCATGAAAGAGACAGAGTCAACTGTTGACATATTGAACATTTGAAATAATGGCAAGGAATGTAGGGGAGATATTGTACACCCTGCGATTTCTAAGCCCTTGACCTGTGTGGTTTTCCTTTGATCTGATAACAGCCTCCCAACTTTCCTTTAAAGAGGCTTTTTTTTTAAAAAATGCCATCAGCCTTTCTCATGGCACCCTCCTCCTTCTTTGAGCAGATCCACAGATGCCAGCTCCCCCCTCCCAAATTCCCTCTTAATCACCTCTGCATCCCCCAGTTCAGCGGTATCGTCATCCCAGTTAATCAGCGACCCCTCACCATTAAGGGATCATTAAAGCTTAATTCACTGCCTGGGGAAACATTTTCATTATTAAGTGGAATTGCTGATTAAACGGTCCGATTATGAGGGAAAATCCATCCCCTTTTCCTGCTGGGAAAGAGGGTGGGGGAAAAGATAGCAGGAGCGGCCGGGCTGGGTGGAATCCCTTCACAGTGGAAGATGCTGGGCTTCCCTGTACTATTTGTTAGATGGAGATGAGAAGATGTGAAATGTTAATATTCTGAACATGCAGTGTTAATATTAATGCTATACAGGTACATCGGAAAGAGAATGGCTAAACAAGAGAACTTGAAGCATTCACTGATTTTACACATCACATTTCCAGATATTGGGTGAATTTCTTCCAGTTTGTCCCTGTTTCGCTCCAGTCTTCAATCACCCATGATTTTGAGAGCTGAAAGCAACTTTTCCAAGTTTTGGTATTTCCTCCAATGTCTTGAAGACACTTCCAATGCTTTGCTTGCCAGGGAGAAAGCTAGGATAATCTCTTCCTATCCCATGCACAGAAGCTCACCAGACAGGTAAGTGAACCAGCACTGGTGAAAGGGCAGCATCTTTCACCAGGAAAGCAGATAGGGAGTTAGCTCAGAGTTATAGTCGAGGCTGTATGATGCACAAAGTTCTGCATTGCAACAGCTTGCCACTGCATCGTGCCTATCAGTATGTGCTGCTTGAAGAAGATTCTTCCTTCTGCCCCAGGGTAGGGCTGGCCCTGCATACCAACTATCCCTGACTTGGCTACCATAATGCTAGGAAAAGTTGAAGGCAGCAGGAAAAGAAGAGGACCAGGTATGAAATGGATTGACTCAGTAAAGAAAGTCACAGCCTTGAGTTTACAAATGCTAAGCAGAGCTGTTAATGACAGGAGATTTTGGAGGTGACTAATTCATAGGGTTGGCATAAGTCCGGATTGATTTGATGGCACAGAAGGGCAACAACAGACACTTGGCATGTACCCAGTCTTACCAACTGGACTCAATGGATGAGTTTATACCTTTAGTCAATGACTGGATACCAATGCATGGAAAATAGGATGAAAAAGGTGCCCTCCATCTACTAGGTTACAGTATCCCACCTTCATCTGATTTCCACTGGCTTTTTATGTAGCATGCCACCCACAGTTGATCCCCAACTACCTCTGCTGGTACAAGGCGCCCCTGGACAAATTATCCAATTTGAGAGAGATCAGCTGACCATGCAATCAGCTGATGCTTATCTTCTCCAGTGGAGAGCAGCCCTTCCTTCTTCGTTCCCCTCTCCCACTCCCAGCCCCCAACAGCCCTTTGGTTGAACCTGAGCTCCTATTTTGCATTTCGCACCGTCTAACCTAATTACGTCTACAGCACATTTCTCCAATTCTGTTTTAAGGCTATTAGAAACTGCAGACTAAGGTATTTGCAACATGCGGATTAACATCTTCACTCCCCTATCTCTCTCCTGCCCCTCCTCCAATTTATTTTGGCTTTGCTCACAATTTAATTTGATACACTGCTTTTGGGAATTCCACACCACTTGTCTGCAGAAATTGCAAGTATAATTTTAAAAAAAAAACACCACAGCTTCCAGAAATCCCCAGACAGCATGGCTACTGGTCATGTGCTGTGTGGAATTCTGGAACTTGTAGTCCAAGAAGTAATTTTCCCCATGTTGGCTATTTTGTGAAGTAGCTATTGGTCTTGATAAAATCCTCCCTATTAACTCTGTTGGGTTACAACTACCTCTAGCTTCCTCTCCTTATATTTTCAGCTGTACCAATTTCCACTCAATCCTGAGAGGGAACCTAGCATGAAATTTCACTGGCCAGGAGATGCAGCTTCTGAGTGTTCCATTTCCTCCTTCATATTGTGTGTTTGATTTTTAATAAGAGACTTAGGAATAGAAACCAGCCTTAGTGGGTGGTTATTTCGTCTCCCAATTTAGAGACGTGGAATCGTTCCTGAGAAACATAACGACAAAACATATCCCTTCTGCTCTCTTCTGTGAGCATTCCAGAAGCCTAACATCCTTTTGGTTAAGTATTATAGACTTCCAGAAATAGAAAAGAGAGCAGAATACATCCACCTTCTTTATGCCTTGCAAAATTCGAGAGATTTATCTCTGGAATAAGGGCAATCTGGTAGACTGAAATACACATTCCAGAAGAAACAGATTTTATAAGCATCCCTAGGAGAAAAAAACAGTTTTGCTCAAGACCCCGAGCAAGACCAGTCTCTCAAAGGGGGAGATGACTCCTAGACCCCCTCCATCATCATCCAGATCGCCTGGTGCTTATGACAACAATAGCTATGTGGTCGGTCACTAAAACACAGAGGACTGCAGGCTAAGGCTACTCTGGGAAAGGTGAGAATTTGTCTTCCTGATCCCTGGGTCAATGAAATCGATCAGCTAGAAGTGATGAATCAATGGTAATTTGGTTGGTGGACCTGCTGCCATGGCAAGTCTTGAGTAATTAAAAGGCTAGAAGATGTTGCAAATGGGCTGTTGCTGAGTTTTCATCGCTGTTACAGGCTCGTTAATGGAGTCGACAGCCAACTGGATTGTTAATTTGTCAGAAAAAGGCTTCCTTTCTCTGTGGGTTGCCGGTGTGTATATTTGTCACAGAAGCCAGGGTGGGATGTTTTCACCATCACTGAATTAATGCTTCAGCTCCTCCCATGCATTTGCAATAGACCTGCATCTCATGTGGCTTTTTATTACTGCTAGGGATGTCATAGCATCTGAAGATCAGTTGACAAACACTTTGTGAAAGGTGAGGGTTGGTCTTTTTTTGGGGGGGTGTCACCAAAGCTACTGGGAAGAAGGGCAGCAATATCAAGAAAGTTGGGCAGAGTGGACTGGAATAGTTGCTAGCGAGGGTGTAGGTATGGAGGTAGTGGCAGACTGTGGATCCATTTGACTAGCAACTTTTATGTCTTTGGGATTTGCTACCCTATTGATTTAAGGGATGTGGTGGCACTGTGGGCTGAACCGCAGAAGCCTGTGCAGCAGGTGGGAAGGTAACAGCGTTCCGTGTCTAAGTCGCACTGGCCATGTGACCACAGAAGATTGTCTTCGGACAAAACGCTGGCTCTATGGCTTGGAAACGGGGATGAGCACGCCCCCTAGAGTCGAACACGACTGGACAAAAATTGTCAAGGGGAACCTTTACCTTTACCTTTACCCTATTGATTAAGCTTAGCTCATGTGAGATGGGCATCCATGGGGATAGGGCAGGGACATGACTGCAATCATCATATTAATTCCACTTTGAATCTACCTGTTCTCTGTTTCCTTCTGCCCAGAGAGGAGTATCTGGAGGCAGGATGCATACTCAGGGCATGTGGGTTTGCATCCTTCCAGGAATACCGCCCAGAGTGGTAGAATATACCTGATGGGCGGGATTTAAATCAAACAAATAAATAAAAATAAATAAATACACCTATAAGTGGCTTTGAACCCTTCTAGCAGCAAATACCAACAGGCAGGTGAGCACTCTTCTAGCAGCTGTTTTTTTGCACACTCTATTTTTCAGTGCCCTGGATCAAAGCCCTGGTGCCCCTATTTTGGGCACAGCCCTGCTGACCTCTGTCCAAGGTCCTGAAGCTTATGGTGCTATATTCCTCCTTTGCAGAGGACAGTCCTCTACTTGAAGTCATCTGCAACGTTCAGGATTACCCACCCCGCATTTGGTGGTAGCAGGAATACCGCCTGATGCTTGGCAGGTTCAGAAAACAGGAAATGTAAAAGTTCCTTTTTTGCAGTACAGTTCCTAGAATTCTGAAAATTTCTGTCCAGAAAAGGAACTTTACCTAGGTTCTGCAATGTGCCCACATCACCCCGGACATTATCCACTCTTGCTGCAAATGATACTCAGCTGTACAGCCCAGTGACTCAGTACAAGAGAGACTCTGTGTTCTTAGTTGTCAGACATGTGTTCACAGAATGGCACAGAAGCATTTTCTCTTTTTTTCGCCATCCTTTGAATTCGGATCTTTCTGGGCTTCATAGTTCCCTTGGAAGAGCAGACAGCCATGACTAGTTCTGGTACATGACTCACAAAAATAATATCATCTTTGTTCATTTAATCAACCCAAGCACCAGACATCACCAGATCCAGCATCAACATTTACATTATGAATTTGTGTTGGACGTCAACATTTCCACTTGCGAGGTGACCTCCCCAATCCCATGATCTACCTTGATGACATGGCCCAGCTTCTTCTTTTTTTAAAAAAAAGAACTGCCACTGTTATTTCTGTTCCTCCTGAGTAATGTCCATCCTTATCTTTGTAAGTCAAACAAAAGTCCTCTTTTAAGGGATGCAAAATTGCTACACTTTTTTCTTTTTCTTTCTCATTCTCTTTTCTATACTGGAGTTCTTGATTTCAAAAGAAGCAAAAGCAGAGTGAAGCTGCACATGAACACTAGATTTTAGGAAAACCTAAAAATAAACACAGGACAATGTTAAGTAAGGTCCCATGGCAGGAGATCCTAACAGGAAAAGGAGTCCAAGATGGGTGAGAGTTTCTGAAAAGGCACAATTACAAACAGCTCCTAGAAGGGGGAAAAAAAAGGAAGACAGCAAAAAGAGACAATGTGGCTTTATGAAAAGCTCAGAGAGGACCTGGGGGAAAAAACACAGGAAAGCCAGGCAACAAAGGAAGAGTACGGAAAGGTAGCAAAGAATTGCAGGGATGGTGTTAGGAAGGCAAAAGCTGAGAATGAGCTGAGGTTAGCAAGAGACGCTAAAAGCAACAACAAAAAACAGCATTCTTCAGGCATGTGCATAGCAAAAGACAGAGAAAAGAAATAGTCACTTAGGTATGCAAAAGGGGATGCAAAAATGCTAAGATGGCAACAGAGACCAGAGGCCAGGGCAGCATGGGTGGCGGCAATGTGGGCAGTGGCAGCCAGGGTAGGGAGGGGAAGAGGGGCAGGCTGTGGGTATGGGGGTGTGGGGGGAGCATTCTGCCTATGGGCCCACTGATCAGCTGTTTGGCAGGTCCATAGACAGAGTGGGAAGGCCACTAGAAAGGCTACCCTTTTCCTTAGCAGTATCAAGCTGTCAGGAACCCAGCTGTGTGGGAGAAATGGATGCAATCAATATCACTCCTCCTGTTCAACTTACTTCCAAGTACAATGAGATTCTGATGATTTGCCAGTAAATTGTTTGACGGGTTGCTGGGGACCTGATTGTGCAGCGGAAGGATGCAGAAAATTTTTTCTCCAAGGATACCATTTTTCCCAGAAGGATCACTGAGAGGTGGTGAGGTGAAAACATCTCTCCATGTTTTTGCACCAGATTTCCCAGAATCCCCGTCAGGCTGGCCAGGCAGGAGGTGAGATAGGGTCGGGCTTCAGCTTGAGCAACATCTCTTGCTGCAAGAAGATTGAGTATCTGCTGCCTTTCCCCTACCCCAATGTCCTCAATTTTTCCAACGTCAGAACATATATATCAGAATATGATCTTTTCATTTTAGAGAGAGACCAGGAACCTGTGATTGCAAAAATCTGCACTCGGAAGAGTGCTGGGCTGCTTTAAAGATTACTTCATTGAGCAACGTGGATGATGCTTTTCCTTCTCCCATCACCATGTCTCGGAACAAAGCAGAAACATACTTTAAAATAGAATCTCAAATGCTTTGGAAGTTTCGCTTGTAAGGGAAAGTGAAGGGCATATGAGGAGAGCCAGAAGGGAGGGCAAGGTGCACAAGGAAAGACCGTTTGAACTGCTCCCTGTATTTCTGTGGCATTTATTTTCTAGGCCATGCGGTCCTAGGGGAAAGGAATAAGTCGGAAAGAAGCCAAGTACAGGGTTGCTCTTTTGTAAGATGGCAGTAAGAACTTCGTGCTACTTGGCCTTCTCATTCTGTGCAGTGAAGAGAGATGGGGCATCAGATCTCTGGAAACCATCGCACCGTTAATGGTGGAGCTGGATTTTGATCCTTTCATTGTAGAGATACTTGGCTTCCTGGCAGAGATAACAAGCTATGGGGAATTTGAAAAATGACAGAGAGGGCAAATGGGTGGTCGCAACGTTGGTTATGCAGAGCAGTGTCCTGGTGCCTCCTCCACGGCACTCTCTTTTCTTGGGTTGCCTCTATCCCCTTATGGGAAGGAAGATTTGAACTTCTTTGGGCAGGGGGACAAGAACCCATTGCTGCTGCCTAAAGAATGGGTGATAGAATCCAAGAATTAGAGTGCAATTTAGGAGCTCATTCCAACATGGCGATGGGTGTCCACCTTGAGATGCCTCTTAATGAATGGTCATGAAGTTCCATCAGATCATCACATGTGTGCCTGTGTTCTTGGACAGTTTTATTTTTGAATTACAAATCAGAAGGCTACTGGGATTCATAATCCAAGAAAAAAAAAGTAACTTTCCAATGCATTGTCATGACCTTGTTGTTGATATGCATCATTACTTCTCTCTTCTTTTCTCTCTCTCTTCTAAGCACATATCTCCAAAGATTCTAAGGTTATACTCCCTGTAAGTAACTTTTCCAAGAGTATATTCCACAAAAGTAGCATAACATAGCATCATACTTGGTTTTTAGGAGGTAGGGTCTAGTGGCCCTGTTGTCAGTGGGGTTGTGAATCTGCTCTCCAAAGTGCTGAATCCTTTCCCTGAAACAGTTTCAGCATCTCCAACAATCCAGACTAAAACCCTGAATGGATTTACCATTCCACTGATATTGGCATAACCAACCCCCACTGTTATTTGGATCTGCTGAAAGAAGCACCAGCTTTTTACTACTCTTCATTTCTGCTCAACTATGTCTCTCTTCAGAAGCAAGAGAGGGCTCTACATTAATGACTATGAAATATTGATAGGTTTGCTTTTATAACAAGGCATTGCACAGCACCAAACATTGATACTTCGGTGGTTGATGGGGTCCCTGAAGAGGAGATGACCTGAAATTCTTTCATTATGATCAACAGATCAGATGGGGCCAACATGATACTGGACTGGCGTGATGAATTTTATCTTGCAAATGACTGTGCTGGAAGCCAGCTCTTTATTACCCACTCTATATGAGTATATATAGAGCAAATAAAATACTTTTAATGCACCTTTATAAATAAAACCAATCGTGCTACTACACCTCTAACTATGAATGAACCAGCCAGCCAGCCAACCTACCAAATAACCCTAGGCAACTGGCTATGCTACACTTTTCTTCCTGACATGCTAGCATACTACTTGTAGCGATTTTTTTAAAAGCATGTACTATATCTGGAATGTGACTCTCATACCTATACTCTGAAGTGGTCCAGTCTAGAATTCTGGTACTTCATTGTTTATCATATATGAAGAAACACACCAAAAGTGTGATGTGAGTGACTAATACAACATTTCTGGTATTTTATATAAGTCTTCTTTTGCAGGTGAATCTCCTCTTTAAGAACACTCTGTCCAGAGGACAATGTAATCCCTTGGTATTTATGGTTCCTCCTAGAAGGTTCACCAATAGACATGAGCATTAGCCATGTTAAGAGGTAGTAGGACGAAGTGGTTGGAACGATGGGTTGGGATTTTGGAGATCCTTTCCTCACTCTCCAATGAACTATGGGACCCACTGTTTGATTGGAGCCAGTCACTCTCCCTCAGCCTGTCCTACAAACTTCATAGAGCTGTTGTGCAGATAAAGTGGGAATGATGAGAACCATGGAATTCTTTGGTGGGAAAGAAAGTTATTGACGGACCCAATTAATTAAATAGTTGAAGGGATGTGATGCCTAGGATGGAAAAAGCTTCTTTTCTGCTGCTCCAGGGGGCAGGAACTGAATGAATGGGTCCAAATGACAAGAAAGGAGGCCTTGACCAAGCATGAGGAAGACCTTCCTGATGGCAAGAGTTGTTTGTCAGTGGAATGGGCTGCCTCTGAAGAAAGCGGATCCTCCCTCATTGGATATTTTTAATTGGATGGGCACCTGTCAAGGGTGGATTTCCTGGATTGCAACAGGGTTGGGTGACCTCTGAGGTGCTTTCAAACTCCGCAGTCCTCTGGTTCCAACAAATAAAAACCAAATCTCAAGCACTCCTCTGGGGACACAGAGTTGTGGCCATCATGGCTGACCTTGGAAGTGGTGTACACAAAAGAAGGAGGAGGGTAAAGAAGGGTGTGGAAGCTTTGTGTGATGTTTGGATCAGCATCAGTTGGGTGCTCTAGGGTTCTATGTGGGCCTTTGTGCATGCCCTCCTTCACCCTATTCTGGACCTGTGGGAAAAGAGAGAGAGAAAAAAACAGAGACAGACAGACAGACTCCTCACTCTCCAATGAACTATGGGACCCACTGTTTGATTGGAGCCAGTCACTCTCCCTCAGCCTGTCCTACAAACTTCATAGAGCTGTTGTGCAGATAAAGTGGGAATGATGAGAACCATGGAATTCTTTGGTGGGAAAGAAAGTTATTGACGGACCCAATTAATTAAATAGTTGAAGGGATGTGATGCCTAGGATGGAAAAAGCTTCTTTTCTGCTGCTCCAGGGGGCAGGAACTGAATGAATGGGTCCAAATGACAAGAAAGGAGGCCTTGACCAAGCATGAGGAAGACCTTCCTGATGGCAAGAGTTGTTTGTCAGTGGAATGGGCTGCCTCTGAAGAAAGCGGATCCTCCCTCATTGGATATTTTTAATTGGATGGGCACCTGTCAAGGGTGGATTTCCTGGATTGCAACAGGGTTGGGTGACCTCTGAGGTGCTTTCAAACTCCGCAGTCCTCTGGTTCCAACAAATAAAAACCAAATCTCAAGCACTCCTCTGGGGACACAGAGTTGTGGCCATCATGGCTGACCTTGGAAGTGGTGTACACAAAAGAAGGAGGAGGGTAAAGAAGGGTGTGGAAGCTTTGTGTGATGTTTGGATCAGCATCAGTTGGGTGCTCTAGGGTTCTATGTGGGCCTTTGTGCATGCCCTCCTTCACCCTATTCTGGACCTGTGGGAAAAGAGAGAGAGAAAAAAACAGAGACAGACAGACAGACAGACAGACAGACAGACAGACAGATGGATGCTTTCACTTCACCACTGCTCAGTGATCCTTCTGGAAAGATGGTGTTCTTGGAGCAAAATTTCTCTTCATCCTTCCCCCGCACAATCAGGTCCTCAGCAACCCGTCAAACAATTTACTGGCAAACGATCAGAGCCTCATTGTACTGGGAAGTAAGATGAACGTGGGTGATATTGATTGCATCCATTTCTCCCACACAGCTGGGTTCCTGACAGCTTGGTATTGCAAGGGAAGAGGGCAGTGGAAAGAGTGATCTTCTTGTACCCCCAAAAGGTGGTAGTCCCTTGGGGGGAAATGAAAGAAGAGGTGGTGGTAGTGCTTGCCATTTGTGGCAGACCACATAGCCACTGGCCATTGTCTGCATGTGCCCCATGGCCTGAAGGCTTGGAGCAAACGGCTGAACATACCTCAGTCCTTGCATCATTTTTCTACACTGGTCCCCCTTATTACCACGTAGATGAAAGAAGCAGAAGCCAGTGGTTACAAGCCAATCTGTGCCAATGTCAGTTCTCTCTGCCAGGTTTGTTTGTTTGTTCTATAAGCAACAAGCTTCTCCTGGGGTTTCAGATTCCAGGGCTCCAAACCGCCGGAAGGCTGTGGTCTCTCCGTTCATTAAAAACATGCCTAGATTCCTTGTCCCACAGACAGCCTCAGGCTTAATGCAAGTCAAGGAACAAACAGACAAACTAAGGGCCATTGGGTGAGTCGGGGGTTCTGAAGCCAGGACTGCATTATCTTCATGCATCCAGAGCACACCGTTATAGCTGCTGGATCCTATCACATCCTGGGATTTGCAGTGCAGTACCTAGAATTGTTCACCCCAGAGCAATTCTCCCAAGTAAACCAGGGAATACTCAGTACCACAGCACGTGTGATCCCTGCGCAATGTCCAAAGACAGGAGCCGACAGTGCCTTTATCAGACACCTAGGAATATTTATTTATTTAGTATCCTGCACAACTACTCTGGGCAACAAACCAATCACAATCATGCAAAATACATAGCCGCCCCACCCAAAAAAAGCATATATAAACAGCAAGCAAGAAGCATGATGTCTAAAAATAAAATAACTAAGAAAGAACACTAACTAGTTGTAAACACTGAATACAATAATATTAGGTGGCAAAAATATGACAAGTTCACAAGCACAAAGGGAAAGAGAGAGAAAGAAGCCCAATTATCCAGTCAGATTACTCTGGAGTAAGGCCATTAAAAGTTTGTGAAGAGAGTCAGGTTTTAGTCTCCTAAAACCAATGAGGGATGGGTTTAATTGTACCTCAGATAGGAGCGAGTTCCAAAGTGATCCGGCAACCACTGAGAAGACCCGGGTTCTAGTGTCAGATTTTCAGGCCTCCCTCGGGGTCATCACCCATAGCATCCCAGTATGTGAGGTATGGATGGAATGGGGAGATGTTTGAGGGAGAAGCACTTAGACAGGGAGCAAGATCCTAAACCATTAAGGGCTTTGCATGGTAGCATAAGCCATTTGAAACATCACAGACAGGTGAGCTTTCTGGTCCTACAGGGTTCTGTATCAAGCTGAACCTTCCAGAGTGTGGGGTTAAAGTGGGGGGAATGAGAGAAGTAGAAAACACCACAAGATCATTCTGGCCGGATGTTGATCACCTGACACCTGAGATTCAATTTAAATTGAGTAAAACTACGGAAATGGATGAGGAAAGTGGATTTTAATCCCAAGTAACATCTTCTGCAGCTTCTGTACAGTGTCATAAATATCAATCAGTCTTAATAAATATATTGTATTTTATGAATCCTGAGCATGACTTTTTATATTTCAAGAGTCACTGAGAAATGATGTGACTGTTACTTAGAGAAATGATTCTTGCTGTCAGGCCTGGGAAAAACTACAGTGAGCTGTCCATGGTCCTGTTTGGCAGACATGCAGAGGATCCAGGCGACACAGACGAGTACAGATCTAGCGATATTAACAAATGATGGCAGAATGTAACATTCAGAGCCATAAGTACATGGCTGGGCTGGACATCAGAACCAAATGTTGTCAATATGAGTCCCTGAGATTATGAGTTATTATTTCAGGGGAAAACTTTAAAAGTTTATGCCAAAAGAAGACTGGAAGATACACAATTTTTGGGAGAAAATGCTAATGTTTTAGGTAGAATTAAAGAAACATTTTGAACCTTGGAGTTCATAGCCTGAGTTTATTCATGTCAATGAGATCTCCTCTGGAATGCACATGTTGTTCCAGCTGTGAGGTCAATTCAAGAATAAGAGTGACCTTTAACCATTCCTCTAATTTAGGGAAGGCACTATCAGAGTTCCCCAACTCTGTCATCCCATATCTCATGCTGTGAAGGCTTAAATAATAAAGGGATAATGTCCGCAGAGAACAAGACTGAGAGGACCCGAGATTTTGCTATAGGACGGTGTCACTTATTCTTTTAGGACAGATGCACAACAGAGCATTACTCAGTAGATTTAAGAATGCAGAAAATCTATTTTGGACTGAAGTCTTGTGAAGGTGACTTAGGATTTTGCAGTCTGCAGAAAGAAGACTTTTCCCTGGTTTCCAGGAGCTGTTAAGTTTCCTCTGTGTGCTTTTTGCTGTAATTCCTTCATTATCCTCACAAACAACCTTGTGAAGTAGGCCAGGTTGAGAAAGGAAGCGAGACCACCACTGGCCCAAGCCACTTAGATTGTTTCGTGGCTCATTGGGTACCTCTGAAGCTTCAGTCCCACACTTTGAGCGCTTCCCTACATGGTGGAGGCCCTAAAACAAGCAGAATAGTGGCTCTTGTTACCTCTCCACCCAATCTTTTTTTTTAATCTGACCATCACCTACAACATTATTGTTCTTGTGGAGTGTTGACCAAATAGAAAGTTGTCCTATAGTGACTGAATCAAAACACTGGCCTGTCTAGCTAAGTTCTGTCTATGCTCCAGGGTTTCAGGCATACATCATCTCCAACTGCTGATGTTTGCAGTCATCCCCCCATGCACCCCATAGATCTTGGCCTCCACAAGTATCCTTGTTGGTGCGTTGAAGGATAGCAGCACACTTTTTGAATATTATTTTGTATTCTTTGAGTAATGGGACTGCAAGACGGTGTCTTAGGATCCAAAATAGGAAGAAATCCATGGCTAATGAATTTCCTTGTATAATTTTTATTACTTTTAATATATGTTATTGGTTATTTGTGATTTCTGCTGGCGCCACCTACTGTCTCTCTGAGTTCGGTGCTTGCAAGCTACGTAGATCTTCCACAATACAACAGCCATCTTTGGGTCTTGAAGCAATTCTTTGGAAGGAGACTGGGAAGAGTTAAATTTTGTATGCTATATAAATAGCATTAACAGCACTAGCTGACAGTTTAATGCAAAAGCATATTGCAGTGCAAATCAGCTCTTATGGGATAATTGTATTAGGGGCAAGGGATAACATGGGCTGCCCTTAGGGGGAAAAACTCAAGGGAATTTGACGTATTAGTTTGTCTGTTTCACGGGCATACCTTCAGTAGATTATTCACCCACACCACCTACACTTAAATACTTTAATGAAGACTATAACAATTAATGAATGCTTTATGCTAAGGAACTTTAGGTCACTTATACTGGGATACTATGAGTGGGGATCCTGAGGGAGGCCTGGAACTATGCCACCCAAAACCTGGCCTTCTCCATGGTGGCCACATTGCTTTGGAACTCCCTCCAACTAGAGATGTGATTAATCCCATCCTTCCTTGCTTTTAAGGACACAACTTAAAACGTTGCTTTTTTCATAAGCTTTCCATGGCCTCACCCCAGATTAATCTTGTTTTAAGTAATTGCATTATTGAGCCTGCAAAATTGTCTCTATCTGCTGCCCATTATTATTGTATTTTATATCCTAATTTTTTTCTTATTCCTATTCTCCTTTTTTGGTATTAGTTATTTTATTTTTTAAGGCACATGGTGGCGCTGTGGGTTAAACCGCTGAAGCCTCTGTACTGCAAGGTCAGAAGACCTGCAGTTGTAAGTTTGAATCCACAGAATGGAGTAAGAGCAGTTGTAAGATTGAATCCATGGAATGGAGTAAGACCCCGTCGCTTGTCCCAGCTCCCACCAAGCTAGTGGTTCGAAAGCATGCAAAATGCAAAAATGTGAATAGATAAATAGGTACTACCGCGGAAGATTGTCTTCAGACAAACGATAGCCCTATGAGTTGGAAACGGAGATGAGTACCACCGCCTAGAGTCAGACACGACTTGACAAAATGTCAACGGGAACCTTTTACTAATTTATTTTTAGAGATTATGTTTTTTGTACACTGTTTCATTTGAATGTTATTACTGCTTTGTCCACTGCCCAGAGTAGTGGCCTTGCCACTAGCTAAACAGGATACAAAATATAATAATAACAATTTTTTAACTAAGCAATCCAAAACTGTTGGAAGTCGCCACGTATACGGAGAGGTCATCAGTGGCGCTCCTGTGTTACTAGGAAGTAAGTAAATGATCTTGGTGTGGCTGATCTGCACTCAGATTCCAAGGAAGCTGGTTTGGAAATGCAATCCTTTAGCCCATTCCTATAATTACTGACCTGAGAGATGCACAGGTAAGGGCAGCCCAATCCAGATGTAGTTGAATGGTAACCCTCCAGTAGCCCTCTCTGTTGGAAAGCTGGCTGCGGCTGATGAGACATCAAACCTTTAGAGGACCACCCTGGGTGAAATGAAATGACATTGTGTGTTCAGGAGGCTTGCCACAAATATTACGTTTTTGTTATGTAAACTGCCCTGAGTAGTGATTTCACTAATTATTTAACTTTGTGTATCAGTCAACTTGTTTTATTTTCCACACACACCCCTAAACAGCCATGATTTCTGCCCTTTTCATTCCAAGAAACTGTGCTTCCTTGTGCTACACAAGCTTAAGCCAACGTAGGTTTCCTCTTGGGAGGTGTGTGATGGGGCCACCGAGAAAGAGAGAGATTTTTCAGGTTACAAGTCAACAGCAAGTAGGAAAGGATGTTGACAGCTTGCGGGTTAACAAGCCCTTTTTGAAAATCAGAATACAACACACCAAAGCAAAACAAACTCCTTACCTTTTGCTTCCTTTTCCATAAGACTCACCTACCACAGGAAACTGTCATAGGGATGATTAAGATAATGTATATGATTTTGCAACCTGAACAATAAAAAAAAACAGTGTAAGTGAAGGCAATTGTAAAATGCTGACGTATCCAGTGATTAGCTGGGAAAAAATGTGTTGAGTCACTGCCCAGGTATGAATTAAGGTTGATAACAATAAAGAGGATGATCCAGGTTGAAGAATATTTTTTTCTTTGGGGAGGGGGTCTGCTGTTGCGCCCTTCCAAGTGGGAAGCTTAGCATAAACCTACAGTATATGGTGGCATTCTGTATCCCCCGTGGAACCTTGCAAGGTAGGCTCACTTGGGAGTATAGATTAATCTGGGTCCTTTCTGCCATGGTCTTTAGATTATTTCATCCAGGAAATTTCATATTCAAGTAAGGATGTGAATCTTGATCTTCCCAGTTCCACTTCAACCCACTAAGAAGTCAATAAGATTTGTGGCATTCGCCTAATGACTTATGGCAGAAATGAACCTCTCATTACTGCAATATACTAAAGAAGTTCAACTTAAACAGAACAACCATAATATCTGGACACCTTAGTAGCACAGTGCAAAGACTCATGTCCCAAACTGAAGGTTAACCTCCGTGGTTAAATCTAATTTTTGTACCAATGAGAGCAGGCCCATTAAAAAACAATGGAACTTGTGTTAGTGCTACAATTTCCCTTCTGACTTATAGTAATTCTATGAATGCATGCCCTCCAAACAGGCTTATCACCAACAGCCCTGTTCAGCTTATAAATTGTGTTATCTGTTACTCACAAGTGTCTTTCATTTCAATGGGTCTACTCAACTCAGGGCTAATGTTTCATTTAACTCCTAGACTTTAATGTAGAATAAAAGAAGAAAATCTTTGGGGAAAGGCAGGCAGAGTAACCCCTCTTCCTCCCTCACCCCATATCCTTCATCCTTTCCTTGTTCCTAAAATGTTGCTGTTCCTGTACTGAGAGCTGCATGAATCTGATTGTACTGAAAATAATCCAATTACAGATGGATTTTAAGGACATTTGGCGATCATTCTAAAGGAAAGAAGGGCAAAGAGACATCTTGCAATGGAACATGGGTGGACAGAACTGGTGGTTAGGCTTTAGGGCATCGCTGGATGAAGGGACATAAAAGGTAGATGAGTGGAGACGCAAAGATTTAGAAAACATGTTTGAAAAGAGGAATGTTACCCCAGTTGTTACATGGGTAAAGCAGTGCTGCTTTACCATCCTTATTGCCAGAAAGAATTACATGTAACTCAGCATTTGGAGGCTGGTGTGTCTGCAGAGAAGCTGCTCCTGTTTGTAGGTTCTCCCCACTCCAATTTTCCTGCTGAGAGTCTACGCCCAGGTAGAAACCTCCCCTCTACAAACGAATTTATTTAAAATATTTTATCCCACCTTTCTCCTTAAAAGGACCCAAGGGAGCTTGGATCTACACATGGAGAAAGTTAAGATGGAGAAGGAAGGTCTATGCTGGATAGAATCAGGGTATGTAATGCCTGAATTGGGCTTACGTCTCTCTGCACACAACATGGTTGTAAACTCAGATACCAGCAGGTTGCAAATTCTGCATTGAGAGGGAGAGGGATAGAGAGACATAGTATAGAGAAGGCTTGTCCACAGCTGCGTGCTCCAACCTCTTGCTCAGTTCTAGAAATCTCACAGCAACTGCATCCTTGGCAGGTAGCTATCCAACCTCCACTTCGGGGCCTCCAACTGAAAAAAAGAAACCATCACCTCCCTCTTCCAGTGTTGAACAACTGTAGAATCCTAGCATTTTACAATTGTACGGTGCAAACAGAAAAGAGGAGACCTGTTAGTTGACATCCGCTGTCAAGAGTAATTATGTTACAAGCTACTGCAAGCCACGGCCAAAGTGAGAGAGAGAGTGGTGAATAAATCTGACCTACCTACAGTTCAGCGCATTTGCAGATTGGCCTCATGCAAGTCTGTTTGGAAGTAGTTTCTGTTGAATTCACTAGAACTGATTAAGAGCACAGACCTTTATTCCATCTGTTTTGGTGAGACAAGGAGTTCGATGTGTGTTTAATTTGTCCATGAAAAACCTGCTGGGACCCAAGATGCTTGCATTCAGGCAGGTCATGACCGCACTACGTAGTAGCAAACATCTAGCAGCCCAGGGTTACATGCAATTAAACGAATGCAAACAGTTTCCTAATTAATATTTCAATAGCATTATTACTTGAATGAATACACCAAATTACAATCAGACAAGCAATGCCAGCACCATTTAGCTTTAGTAAATCTAGCTGTTTTCCTAATATCTGAAGGGCTGTCACAGAGAAGATAGAGCAAACTTGTATTCTGAGGGTAAGATCAAATTAAACAGAGTTTAATTATAAGGAAAAGCCATTTTGACAGCAACAGCAGCTTGACAGTGGAAAGGACTACTTCGAAAAGTGCTTGGCCCTTCTTCATTGGAGGTCTTCAAAGAAGACGTTGGACAGCCATCTATCAAGAATGCTCTAGTTGTAGAGCCATGTGCTGGCAGGGCGTTGGAGCGGTTGACCCTTGAGGCCTCTTTCCATCTTACAGTTCTGTCTTCTCAAATACCAGCTCCTGCTCGGTCATGCCATATCCCTTCGTGATACAATGGCGCAAATTTAAGATCTCAAAAAGGTGACTGCCACCTATCTCTCAGCCCTGCATTTGGTTAACAAGTCACCTGTCAAAAATAGTATCTATCACCATCTGTTTTGGACCTGATCTGCTTCCTCAGGGCTTCATTAAATGTAGAGATAACATTCAGAGTTATTGTCAGTTTTTCTTCACTCTACACCCAGCCCAGTGCTTGGCTACTGTCGCATCCACAAGTCTAATTTTACTCTAACTGATGCTCTACAGCCACAATTGCTGATAGAAACAAGTATGGACCTAAGAGCCTCAATTGTTTCCTCATGCTATATGGGTGTGGATGTACAATAGGGGGTTGTACCGGGCAATGCAGCATGACTTGATTTCTTTCAGTGAGATTTTTGACCACAGGATACAGAGCAAAAATCAAGGCAGGTCAACATGGCCAGAACAACTTGCCTATTGCTGTACCAGTAGTGGTGGTGCTGGTACATATTTCTATGGCGTAACCATAAGGCAATTGTTAACACACAATGCCAATCAGAGGTAAACATCATGTCCCGTTCTTCCTAATCTCCAGATCATATTGTAATCTCAGTACTTGACACCAAGAACATACATAATAAGACCCCAGACCACAGTTGCACCTCATTCAGCACCTATACTTGACACCAAGAACATACATAATAAGATCCCTGTTGGGTCAGGCCACAGTTGCACCTCATTCAGCATCTGGTTACAATTGGTGGACAACTAGATGCTTCTAGGAAGTCCACCAACTGGTCATAAAGTTAATCATATCCCCCTCTTTTGCAACTGGTATTTAGAGGTAGAAAATGTCAGATGTTCAATGCACACATCATGGTTAATATCCATGGATATGTTCCATAAATAGCTACATTTTTACAAACAGTATTCTCCTCAAATCTAGAAGTCCAGGAAATGGCTTTAGAAGGCCACCATGGATTATTTAGTGTCAGGGAGGCAGTATACTTTGGTGCTGGAGAGCAGCAGGAACATCATGCTTTTGAGGGCCTTTGGGCAAGTGGCCTTCAGAATGGCCCTTCCCAGGTGGGTCTACCATCCTATCAACTTGTCACAGTCCAAGATATCCCAGGCAGCATCTCACCAGGGGCAAAGATACTGGGACCCAATCCACCATGCAGAGTATCAAGTCAAAAGGTACTCACTGCACAGCTGGCCGTGACCAAGCAGAGGCAGGAGCACCAAGGCTGGGAGGACGGAACCAGAACAAGATGCTGAGATGCAGGAGGCCAGCAAAGTCCAAGGCAGGAACAGATGCAGGAATACTGGAACACAAGGACTCTGGAGCTCAAGAATAGCAGGGCAATAAGCACAGAACAACCAAAGACCTTTGTTTCTGAGAACTGGAACACAAGGACTCTGGAGCTCAAGAGTAGCAGGGAGAGAGAACCACTCCTTAAATAGCCCTTCCCTCCAGCTTTCCAGGTGAGCCTCATGAGTGGCCCAACAGTTGCTACACAGGCCAGGGCTTGATCCTGCAAACACCAGGCCATTCCTGGGTCAGGTTGGCCCCGATCCTGCAGCTGCCAGGGTGGTACAGGCCAGATCCTGACACAACCATTATCACCAGTCGCTGTTGCTTCTCTTTCTCTACTTCATTCATTATTGCAGCCGGTTCCTTGTTTAACGGAGAGCTGGGAAGCAAGTAAGCATTGGCATCTATTGCTCCTCCTCTCCACCACCACGACTACTACCCTCCCCTTTGCCACCAGCACCACCACTGAATGAGCATAAGCAACAGACAGGTTGCAACAGACAGCTCACACTGCACTGGTGAAAGATACTCAAGTTGCAGTGGCAAAGAAAAGAACTAAGTCCAGGGAACACTGCTGGGGTGTGAAGCCCTCAGCATGCATCTAACCATGGTGAACTTGGAGGAGTTCAGCTGTGGAGAAGGCCTTCCATGACGAGGGACTCCATGCTTGGGTGGACCTTCCATCTGAAACAGCTTCTTTGTATGCCCAATCATCATTTGTCCAATACTGTTTGAAACATTGAGTTCTGGGCATCTGTCACATGGGATCAGCCCCAAGATCGATGTCAAAAGCATCCCTAGAAATTTGACTCTAGGAAGTATTTCATCGTAGGCTGCTTAAGCCAGCCAGAAGAAACTGAAAACAGAGAGAGAGAGAGAGAAAAGGCAGTAGACTGAAAACAGAGAGAGAGAGAGAGAGAGAAGGCAGTAGGGTGACATAAGTGAAGGCTCTGTTCAGGAAATAATTGACAAGGTAAGACTGAAGCATCCTCCTGGGAGGTTAATAAGACACGACAGACAATTGTTACTGTCTGGTGCAGCGCATGTTGTGCGAGTCTATTAGTGGGATTGATGACTATGAAGACAACATGTTAGGAAATGTGTTAACGGGTGGGGGAAGTAATACGATTTAATGGACCCACTCCGCAGGAGATGGCACAGTGTTGCCAAACCCCCCACCCCACGAAGAACCATGCACACCGGTGGACCGTTCCGGCTGGTGCCAAAGGATCAAAAATAGTTTCCTCCCTCAAGGCAGCTGTGAGAGTTCGTCATTCCTAAACAGTGAGTGACATAGGGAAAGAAGTTGTTGAGAGGGAGCAGAGCTGAGAAACGAAGAGGAAACCTCGGTCCTTCCTTGGCCTTACCGTGTCTTCCAGAGACCCTTATTCTGGCCACCATGTTGTTTTCCCCGAACAGAGCCTGTATGCATTAGCATTGACGCTAGGAGCCATCTCTGAGTTATCAGCAGCTTTGAGTTTTCAGCAATGCAGGCTCTACATTTTCTCTCCTACTGACATCGCTCCCGTAATGTGAAGCCCTCATACCTACCAATGCCTCATCAAGCTTGCTTTCTCCACTTTTGTCTAGCAGGACTTAAATATCTAGCCAAATTTATGAACATGCCTGCTTCCCCCCCACACACACACACCTTATTTCATTTCAACACATAGCTGGATTGAGAGTTCTGGAGAACTTTAAAACCAGCATGCTACCATGGAATTGGTCTTAACAAAGCAATGTCTGCCATTTGGAATCTCCAGTCTTTCTGACTGTTGAATTGAGAAGAGATACGAATATTTCCTCACATGCTAGTTTCCTCTACATATGCGAAGTGACTATATGTGAGAGTGAAGGCATGCAGCTTTTCTGCTTTTACATAACTGATAATTGTGGCAATTTAAACTAAACAGAACTCGTGGCACCTCATATGAGGGACACCCTCTTTAGCAACCTTTTAAGAACCAACTAGAAACGTGGATGTATAGGCAGGCCTTCCCTTCCAGTTAATTCCTGTCCTCTTTCCTTTTTAATTATTTTTCTCTTTATTTGATTTATTTTGTATTTTTCCCATCTTGCAGAATCATTTAATTAATTAATTGTTATAAATTTTTCTTGAACTTGTTATCCTTTATGTTGTAAGCCGCCTAGAGTGGTTGAAATGACTAGATAGGTGGGGTATAAACAAACAAACAAACAAATAAGCCTTCATTCGTTCAACTTCAGTATATTTTATTTATTACATTTATAATTTCATGACCCTGGTGTCAAATGTGTGTGTGCAGCTTGCTTGAGTCATATCCATGTGCTTAAATCTGATAATGGTCATCTGTGTCCAACTCATTGGTCGAATACACAGCGACATACACACCTACACAGACAGGCTATCTTTATCTCTCTATGGGCATGTCACCCTTCCATGTGATTGTGTCTGGAGCTGCTCAGAAACTTACTAAACTAACAGCAGGAAATGTGACAATTAAAAAGCCAGAAGTGGTACAGTTACACAACCACTGCATGAATATGCAATAAATATCTTTCTATACCTCTCCATGACATTTGCCTGCAGCCAGCTGCAAAATGTTATTTCACACTCAGCTAGAGCTGAAACTTGGTACTTGTAGAAATTCAATGTTTGGTCCATTGACCAGTGTTTATGACTCAATTCTGAATACCAAATTTGTTCAAATTAGCATATATATATATTAAAAGGCTAAAAATAAAATGAGTAGTTGTTTGTAGGGATGCTGTGGAGGTGTTAAACATCAGATACCATTAAATGTTACAAGTAGAGTCTGGAAAAACCACCCCATGGACTACCATGTCCAAAATCCACCAGCCAGCATGTGCTGGCTGACAGGTTATAGAAGATGCAATAAAAAAAATTACAGTCTCTCCCACCACTGGCAGAATAAGTCAAACCATTTGATATCACTGCAAGTTATTTAGCAAGCTCTGTCAGGTGGTAAGTATCCTATTTTTCTGTGTAGAAGACGCCCCCATGTATAAGACACCCCCCCCCCAATTTTCTAACCCAAAATTAAGAAATCTAAGTGGGGCTTAGCAAGTGGAGGGGAAAGCAGGGATCAAAACCCTGCAAGATCACTTCGATCCCTGCTTTCCCTGCCACATGTTTTTGTTCTCTCCTCATCTTACTTCCGTGTATAAGACGACCCTCAATTTTTAGTCTAAAGATTTTAGACAAAAGTATAGTCTTATACATGGAAAAATACAGTAAGTATTATTATCACACATCAAACCAACATGTTCTGTCACACACTCAGATATGTATATGAGTTGAAAGAATTCTGACCATACGGTGCTACCCCGTCTGTGATGTAGATGAGAGAAAGACTCGTCAAGAGCTAGCCCAATGGCTCTCATGGCCAGCACCATTGGTGGCCACCCCTCGCTGCCTTAAAATCTGGCTTGATTCAGGCCATAGAAACCAACAGTTCTCACCATAAGATTACACTTATCTGAACACCAAAGATTCACAGGCCCCCTTAAGCTTTTTATCATGGACCTCCGCCGACATCACAGAAGCTTGGTTGCTTCTTGTGTACTAAGTAGCTCTTTTAATTAATTTGAAATGCCTTTGGTGGCAAGAGGCAGATTGACACAGATGCAGAAAAGCTAAATTATTACAGTTTAACCTCTGAAAGTGCTTTGCATTTTAAGCGCCCCCTTTCCTTCAGTCCTTTCCAGGGGCCAAAATGGACCTGGCTCTCTAGAAAGGCATCATTAGGAACCACACCAGTTGTTGTTGTTGTTTTTAAAATTAGGAAAGAGTGAAAGTCACTGGGAGGTGGGGGAGGAGTTTCCATCAGGACTGCAGTGAGGGGGGGAAGGAGTACACTGATTTTTCTTTTCTATCCTGCCAGCCACTACATGCCCCTCCAGGGTCAAAAACAGCTTTCCTTGGGGGTCTAAAAACTGCATCAAGATAGGTGGGATTTTGTATAGTTGGCACAGAGGGACGGAATCTGAGAAAATCTCCAGTTGATATGAAGGAAGAACAGGTTCAAGATGCTTCCTGTTGCCCTCTACAGGTCCCCCTTTTTGTCCCATTCATTCAGTCTATGACCTTGATATTTGCATTTCCCCATTTGCAGGAATGGGATTCTTCTGGAAACACACCAATGCCTGCATGGACTTGGAAAGAGATCAGGTCAGAGTGCCTCCAAATCAGTGCAAGTCAGATCAGGCACTAATCTATTCCCATTTATTTGAATAAGGACTGGGTCGGCAGGCCAGTGCACATCCTTGGGAAATAATGTATGTGTTCTGGAGTAATGAGCAAGCATTTGATTCAGGACCTTTTTGTATGCCTCTTTTGCACCCAATTAAATTCAGCATTTGTGCAAAAATCAGTCTGCTACATTTGCAGGAGCATAGGAAGCTGCTGTATCTCGAACTGGTCATCTGTTCCTGTATTACCTGCTCTGACCATCAGCAGCCCTTCCTGATCCCAGGCAGAGGAGGGGGTCTCCTGCCACATGCTGTGAGTTCAATTTAATGCCAGGAACTGAAGATGGAATTCAGGCACCAAGGAATGACGCTGACCGACATCTATACAACAGGTGTGCTCTCCCACTATTAACTCATACTTTTTATTTGTCACATTAACAGATTATGGCTGCCTTCTAAAGTTTCTGTTATGTGCACAGAACAAAGAATTGTGTAGTCCTAAGAGGTTATCTCATTCAACTAATCTAACAGATTATGGCTGCCTTCTAAAGTTTCTCATATGTGCACAGAACAGAGAATTATGGAGTTCATCCTAAGAGGTTATCTCATCCAACTAATCAATTTATGAATTCTGTAGATAAAGTGCCCCTCAAAGATGTGCCATCTTGCCTCAGCTAGATGTCCGTTTCCTATCCCAGTTAGATTTGTGGTTGGTAAATTTATGGTCCATACATATCACTTTGGATAAGCACTAGGTTGGCTTGTAAACATTGGTGTATAAGTCACACTATGAAACACACATGTGGGTGATCACATTGGAAGAGAGTGGCAGTCATGTGAGGTATAAAGCAGTGATTTCCAGCCTCCCTCCCCCCCCCTTCCTGGACTAAAACTCTCAGAAGCCGTCATGACTAGATGTGCTGGCCAGGATTTCTGAGGGTTTTACTTGAAGAACATCTGGGGATTCAAGGTTGGGAACCACTGACTTACTATTGAACCCAACCGTGGAGAAATGAACATAATCAGATGCATTTCTGGAACAACAGCTACAAACCCCCCACTACAGATCTCATGACTTCCATTAGTTGCACAAACAAGACCTATGATGGTGGTCACCATTCCACCTTGAATACATTGATCTCATTTGCTTTTTCAGAAGCTAAGCAGAGTCTGGGCTGGAGAATAACTGGATGGGAGATCAGGCTAGAGATCTCCAGATAAGAATCCTCTCTGAAAATTCTGAGAGTTACTTGGCATTTAGTATCACTGATACTAGTCTAGATGGAACACATGTCTGACTCCAAATAAGGGAGCTTCTTGTGTTTCCATTCGACCCTCAGAATAAGCCACTCAGACTTCTGTTTTGCCTGAAGGAAGCAGTGGATAGCCGCAAAATACAGAAACCAGTGGATTAAAAAATGTGGCAATCTCATCTAAAAAGTGGAGATTCTCTTCCAGGCCTAACGGTCTGTCTTTATCATGATAACCTTTCTTTGCCAACAAAACTTGGTAGGGGGAAGGCAACCATTGTCCATCCGTAGAATGCTCTTCACTTCATCTTGGATACCATTCACCTTGGAACTCCTTGAATGGAAAGAGAGAGTGGGGGGAAAATGGTGTGACTCTGCACTTTCCTTTTGCAAATGAAGACTTACTTACGAAGGTGTTATGCACTGGTGGCAAAAGTTTCTACTGCTAAACTGTCCTCTTCTCTGTAACTATTAATGGCTTAGGAGTTGGGCAGCTGGGCATTCTAAATCAGGGGTCTGCAATTTATAAGAGCCTGCAGGGTTTTTTAGCTCCCTCCCCACTTGACTTTTGGGAATCAAGAGGTTGTTCAGATGCTCCAGTATCATCTTGAAAGGATACGTGAGATACGAACTGTTGGTGACACTATCTTCTATATTGTGTTTCCCTCCTATTCTGGGCTCCTGGAACTTGGAAACACACCCACTTGATTAATCTAAAACTAAATTCTTTCCCAAGAACACTGTAGGAGAACCGAGGAAGAGAGTTGGCCAAAGGGAGGACCCCATACGTTAGCCTGCATCCTGATGTTGGGGTGGCCCAAGAGCTTTGATTTTGGGGTGCCTCTGGTAGAAGGGTTAATGGTGTCTCAACCACAAGCAAAGGTGCCTATCAGCAGTGGTACCTCAACACTTTTCAAAAGGGCTGGTGCTTGGAATGACCCTCCCCATAACCCAGGCATGCAAAGGGAGTCCAGAAAAGTGCAGGCAGACCTGTGGAGGCAGTGCGGGCTCGGTGACTGCAGTGTGGGGCAGGGTCCTGAGAGATCTAGGATTCAGCCCCTCCCCCATTGAACCATGACAGTCAGAGGGTGACAGTGGGCCAGCCACTTTCCCCCAATGAGACCTATGGCAGTGGAGATAAAGTGGGATGTGGGGAGAAGACCAAACGCACCCCTTTGAGCTCACTGGAAGGTCAGAAATTGTATGAATCAATAATCAACCAGAAGGAGCCATTTGGCCTGGGGTAGGTCTTTTGTCAATCTATCGGCTCTGAATGGCTCAATGAAAATGGAGCCACCTGCTTTGCAACAGAAACCGACTAGTGCCCAGGATGTTCATCCCCAGCTGCTGTTCCCATCCAGCTTCAGCTTCACCTGCAGTAAGGACTGCAGTTGAGCTCAGGCAGAACAAGCCAAGCCTAAGGCAGGGGGGCAGATGACGTCATCCCCCGTTCTGCCCCCTCCCAAGCCCCGGAGCTTCCATCTGCACGCCCTGGATTCAATAGGCTTCTGCCCCAGACCAAGAGAAAGATCACCTTTGCAAGGAAAGGGGTCGCACACCGCCCCGTAAAACTCAACCCAGAAGCTGAGAAAGGCCGTCTTCCCTCAGCATCCTTGTGCCCCTCCCCACCCGCTCGCCCGCCCCTGTGAATAACAGCCGGGGGGGGGGGGCTTCTGGCTTCTGCAGCAACGCCGCTCACCCATGCCTCGCTCTCCTCGCCGTCGTGGGCGGCAGGGGAAGGAGGGAGGTCAGCAGCAATGCCACCAGGGTGGGGAAACAGCCCCGACGGGCAGAGTGGCTCGCTCACTTATCCCACGCGAGCCCGGAGTCCTCGGCGGGTGAAGTCGAGAGGCAGGGTTTCGCCGCTCCTGCAAAGGGCATCACCTCTCTGGCTCTCGGTCCCCTCCCTTTTTTCCTCCGCACCCGCTGCGCTGAGCAGCTCTGCGGAGATCTCCCGGGGGGCGAAGGCTCTGCAACCCCTCTCCCTCGCTCTTCCTCTCTTCGTGCCTGCATCCTCTCTTAGTCTCGTCCCCGTGGTCCAGGAGCATCCCTCCGTTCGGAGATCCTGG